AAGCAGAAGAAAGCGGAGCTGGGCCGGTCTGACGGGGCGCTCTGCCGATCCCCGTCAGAGGCCAACGTCAGCGTCCTGGCCACCGGCCTCATCTCCAGAGTCCTGCGGTTCACCTCCAGGTAACACAGGGCACATGCTGAGTTTAGTCAGAAACACAGAAGACATTTAGACAAGTTGGAAGCCTGGATTAGCTTTGATCTGTTCAAGAAAGGTTTTGCAGAAAGAGATTTGACATAATAAATACTCAGAAGTAAGTAAGTTAACAATAGTCTGGTGCATTATGCTTTAGTATTTGTGCAAGAAAGAAAACTGTTTGAGGATCTCTTTGTAACTCAATCCATGTTGGCTTGGATCAAACTAATTATAATGGTTGCTGGAGAAATGGAGTCTGACTTTAGTCCTAACCTTCTCATTTTGACTCATTTGCACACTGATTATTCTGGACTTATATTGTAGCACAAACTAAAACAACTACCTGACCCTCTTCTGCTTTTTTACAATCTTTAAAACATAAAGGATCTAAAGCAGAGTGTGGCTCCACACAGTTTGGGTGGGGGTCAGTTCATGGAACACAAGTAAAGTAAACTGGGGGTTTATTATAACTGGAAAGATATATGTATTTAGGACAACAAACTACATTTTTTACTTTGATATGCCAAAACATTTATGACAGGATGTGACATTCATTACTCAGACATGACATACGGACTCTGAAAGGATATCTATGTGTTGGACCCTGGTTGCTTGTGAATGCAGCGTCAGGACATGTCAGTGACGTCCAGGTTTCAAAAATGATATTTTGATTTAAAACTCTGTGGTAAAACTCAAATGTTACCACACTGTCTTCAGGCCAGTCCCCAGAGACGGTGAATATCTGCACACGTGTCACAGCCATGATAACTTGTCGAGGTATTCCAGTCACGTCCGGCTGTACCCAGGTTCCTGCCGTCCGCAGACATGCAGGCTTTCATGTCTCTGTCTCCTACTTACTCAGATACAATCTCTTCCTGTTTATCTGTGTGGATAAATACAGAACATTTCACATCAGACGAGGGAAGAGTATTGTAACCACAACGTCTCTCTTATCACAACACATTCAAATAATGAAGGTGAGGTCATAAATATTGTTATTTGAACTAAACACAAAAATGTACCAATTTAATGAATATCAGCGCCAGCGAGGCCGCTGCTTTATATTTTTCACAATGTGCAGCATTCACATACAGTACTTTTCACTTCACATTTTGACATTACATTACAGAGGTAACAGTAATCACTTTGGATTATCATCAAGGTTCATTCAACTCTTCTCAAACACCCAATTTACATTAAACGTCAATCAGAGAAGCAGTCATTTTGCCCTTTGAGCCACATGAGAGCTGTCAACGTGAACTATTTGCAGTGTTGAGTTTCAGTGACAGTAGCTTAACAATAGAAAAACATTTACTGAAGAAAAAGAGGAACTGAAAAGAACAGAATGGAGAATATGGATGAGAGGAATGTTTCTCTGTGAACTGGCATTACACATCATTTATCAAGACAAACTTAAGGACATATTGAGTCTGGATTTACAGAAAACACTGTGTCAAGTGTGCGTGCGTGCATTGCGTGAGGACAACATTTTTAATGTTGAAATTGTCTTTTTTCTGGGCGGAGCTTTTAAAAAAAAAGACTTTCTTTGAATGAGGATCTGTGCAAGAAGGAAAGGACACAAACTAGATCAAAAATAGAAACCATGACTGTGCATGAGTCGCAACTCTGTGCTCATCAACGAGTCTTTCCAGAGACAAACGGGTCCCTCAGCACATGTGCTTCTTTCTTCTTGGCCTGATGGCTTTTTTCCGTTCAATCCAATGTTTTCTTATTTTGTTGAAACATAATGTTCAACGCTGGCAGCTGGCTCAGCTACAGATGTACAGATATGGGGGTGTGATGATTTGTCAATCAATCTTGACAAAAATTAAAATAAATGTGTACTTCCCAAAAAGTCACTATTCCTTTAGAAAATGTCTCTTTTGCATTTCTCCTCTTATGTGGTTTTCTTTCATTTAGTCATTTGTTCACCCTGACAAGAAGGCTTTTCTCTCGTGTCATGTGCCGATGGTGGAACAGAAAATGACACAGAGCTGTTTATATCATGGCTGACAGTGTGATGTCCCCGCTAGCCATACACTTTCCTTGGGTTTTAGGAAGTAAAGGAGTGCGTGTACACAAACCCTCTCTCTGTGTTTCCTCTCCCAGACGCAGTGAGCCAGCGTCTCGGCCTCACTCCTGGCACTCCACAAAGCTGGGGGAGGGTCCGCAGCAGGTGGACCGGGGCGGGATGGACACCATGAGCAGCGCCTGGCACCACAACTACCACGCCAGGTCTGTCTACATTTCTAAAACAGACCACTTCGACAATGCATATCCATCGTTAGGGCCCTTGGTAGAGCTCTTTGCTAGCTGTGTAGCGATGTTGCTACCAGAGGTCAATCTGTCCAAATCAGTGCCAAAATAGAGACAGCAGCCTTTTGTATTTTTTTTATTTTGTATTTAATGGTTTTGCACCATTTAAAAATACACATACATAACAGATTATAAATGATAAATAGTGCAGGATGAGGCAAAAAACCTATTGGGATTATTTAAAGCTTCCACCTAAATAATATTTAAAAAATCACATTTGTATATAAAACACAAGATCAATATACAAAAAACTGCTTAAATTCAATAACAAAGACACATTTTAAGAACAACATATGCTATACCTACAATGTACGTGAAATGACACTGATGTGAATATGAAAACCATACAACCCAGATATCTTTCCTCAAGAACAGTTTGAGCTTATGGTCTTCTTGAAAGATAAGACATTTCTTCTTGTTTTCACATTCACATCACATCATACCTTATACTGTATCTCAGCTCCGAGCTCAAAGTCCTATGAATGATCTCTGAAGGTGTTTTTTAACTTGTTGGTACAGTGTCCATGGTGCTCCATGTGTTTTTACTGTCGCCCGCAGGAAAAAAAGTTCTTGACTGCACAAAAAAAACATTGACAAGCAAGTCATTAGAAGCCTTCTGGTTTTCTGGAATGATTGGGCAGTTAGGTTTAACTGTGATCTCACAAACACAGTGTGAATTTAAAGACTTTGCCAGTGTCTCAGCCAATCACGGTTACTCTTACACACACAGATGATTTAGTATTTTACTGAACATGCACAGTGTTTCCATTTGAAATGTTTTGAGGCGATATAGGTCAACGGACGGATCAATGTGAGGAGCTCTCAGCTGCTGTCTGTCTGTGATATGATGTGACCTTTGACATCTGACTGTCTGTGCACACGCTGTGTTTTCATTCTGAAGTGAGACTATCTGTTTGTACCAATACTGACTCCAAGATTTTACATTACACCTTACAATATGTGATTGAACTTCTTTCGGAAAAGAACATTTTCAGAATGAGAGGGCCTTTTTGGAAATAGGCCTTTTTTTGGAAAGTGAGGATATCTTTGGGAAAGAGAGGACTGTTTCAGAAAGTAAGGATCTTCCTGGGGAGAGAGGACATTTTTGAAAGGTTTAACAATGTTTTGAAAATGTTCTTCGACGTCATCTTACTGTTGGTTAAAAAATATCATTATTTAGTGTTGTGTGTGAAGCAGAGCAGCTTCAGAAGGAATTACATCACTATTTATTTTAAACAGCAGTGAAGAGAAAATAAAAGCCTATGATGTGTGTGTGTGTGTGTGTGTGTGTGTGTGTGTGTGTGTGTGTGTGTGTGTGTGTGTGTGTGTGTGTGTGTGTGTGTGTGTGTGTGTGTGTGTGTGTGTGAGAGAGAGAGTGTGTGTGTGTGAGAGAGAGAGAGAGAGCTCACACACACACACTCTCTCTCTCACACACACACACACACACACACACACACACACACACACACACACACACACACACACACACANTGTGAGTCTGTGTGACTGTCTCTGTGGTGTTGTGTGCGCGTGTGTGTGTGTATGTGTGTGTGTCTGTGTATGTGTGTCTGTCTGTGTGTGTGTGTGTGTGTGTGTGTGTGTGTGTGTGTGTGTGTGTGTGTGTGTGGTATGTGTGTGTGTGTGTGTGTGTGTGTGTGTGTGTGTGTGTGTGTGTGTGTGTGTGTGTGTGTGTGTGTGTGTGTGTGTGTGTGTGTGTGTGTGTGTGTGTGTGTGTGTGTGTGTGTGTGTGTGTGTGTGTGTGTGTGTGTGTGGTATGTGCCTAACCCTATCTTGACCTTCACTGTCCTCACTGTCAGACGGAATAGCCCTAACAGCCTGATCGTGTCCCTTCTGCCCATAACATGTTTTGGTGTCCATTTCCTGTAAATATCAGATGGTAAAGTAAAAACATTGATTAGGTTTATCATTTTACAGCTGAGCACATTTTCACACTTGCATGATATTGCCTGGAAAAAAAGTGGTCCAAGTGGCACAGTGTTGCCCTGAGGCAACGAACAAAAAAACATAGTTTTAGCTAATTAATAAATACATAATAAGTCTTTAAACAATCAAATATACTTCTTTACGTATTCATGCACATGCATGTATTTTTTATTTGAAGTTGTGTACATTTCTAATATGTTAAAAAGTGAAATGTATCTTACCAAGTGGTGGCCCTGAGTCCCCTGCAGCTTTGCTTGTAGTTAGGACTGCTCCACCCCCAGACAAAATGCCACACCCATATAACTCCATCATTTTATTGGACACCAGCATGTCAGGTGACATTGTGTATATTTAAAAAAATAAAAATATTTAGAGGGCCAGTGTGAGGTCGAAGAAAGTGGTTTGTTGCCTGAGGGCAACACTATGCCATAGGCATAGAGGGTTAAAGGGGACCTATCATGCAAAATGCATGTTTTATATAGGTATGACCCTACAATATATTATTCAAAGAGACAGTGTAGCCCAGTTTCATATCTGCATGTCTGGAAGCTTAAATGGATCTAAAACTCATTTTGGAACGCGAATGACTGAAGTTGGGGCGGACATTGTGCTCTTGAATTAAATGCTCATCACCATTGTTTTGATTAGAGTTTTGTTGGATGAGAATGGATATCCCTCTGATGTGACTGACCGTAGTGAGCGGGCGTGATCCAGACTGGACCAGGAGTTGGGTCTCTCGTGGTTCCTGATGGCTGCGTAGCTATCGCTGCGCATCGGTGGAGCTGGCGCCCCCTTCAAGTTCTCGTATGAGCTGTGGCTGGCTGAGGGGCCCCATATTGGCCCCACACTGTGTCTTTGTGATGCCGGTACACCCCCACTGCTGCTGCCACTGCTGCTGCTGCCACTGCTGCTGCCACGGTAACAGACCCCACCTAATGCACCAGGAACACAAAGAGAAGCAATGATGTCATCAGATAACAATTAGAACATCTCAAAACTATTCCTGAAACGGGAAGTTCACCTTGTAGCTCTCTGCTGTGCCCCGGCCTCCCTTCTCCCTCGCCTCTGGAATTTCTGTTGCTTAGCAATGCGGCGGAGGTGGAGCTCAGCTGGATTTCGTGGCCCCTCTGGACGTCATACACCGTCTGGGCGTAGCACACGTCCGCCTGCCGCATGTCTCCACCTCTTCTCTCTCTCTGAAGGACCGTCTCGAGAGAATACGAGCGCTCCGGGCTGAAGGAAGGCATGGAGGCCAGGTACTCTGGGATGCTGGAGCTGGTGGAGAAGGAGGAGTAGGCGGAGTCTCGCTTGCTGTGCAGGTGGTCGATGCTGTTGGAGGACCTGGAACATGACGAGAGATTCCATTTAAAGTCATGACATTGAGATATCTACAGCTCTGAAGCAAACGTCAAATGGCTGGTGAAGCTGGGCTTTATATTTTCAGAAGGCAACCGGTTAATTATACAAAAGCTTAATGCATCGTACTAAATAAAGCTCCCATGGTCCTTTCATTCTTTCCTGTAATGTCTAAGGGGTGAATTGGGGAAAATGGGTTGAATAATAATGAATAAATAATTGAATAATAAGTAGTCTCTGTGATGTCATATGTTTCTGTATGGTTGTTGCTTTATGTTTTAAGGCTTAATGTGGGCGGTTCTCAAAGTTGCCATCTTGGCGTGGGGTTTGTCAGTGGAGCAGCGATGACCCCCAATTATGCCCCAACATAAAACCTTTAAATAAGTATGACTGGTGATAGCTTCAACACCAACTTTAGTTACAATAACAATGTTCCCTTAAACAATAACGTTCCTATACAGAAAAGAACATTGTCAATTAAAGGGAAAGTGTTTCCTCCCAGATTACGTTGGGTTTCACCGTCCTGCATATATAGATTTTAGTCACAGTTTGCAGAAGTCTATGATATAAAGAAGACAGGATGGATGGATAAAACAACAATGGATTTTCACCCATGATCAGTATTTAAGTGTGAAAAAGCAGTCAACGTTCACTTATTCTAATTTACGCCTGTAGCTAAAATAATGTAACAAAGAATATTTTAATCCAAACCAGGACCTATGTTACCTATGAACCTAAGCAAGTAGTTGTGTCTCCTCAACATTAGATAATAGTTTAGACGCGCTTTTCTGTCGTTTCCTCGAGTCTTAGTGCTCAGCTAAGTCAGACAGAAGCTGTCCTCTGTACTTCCAGACGTTCAGACGGTAACAGCTGGGGGGGGTACCTGGCAGAGGAAAGCTGGTGGCAGGAGGAGTAGGCGGGGTGGGGTCCGCTGTTTGTGTGGTGGTTCTGAGCTCCGGGGTTAAGGTGAGTGGACTGGGGGGGGTCCAGGCTGTCCATGCTGCCCCTCGAGCTGTACTGGTCCGGACTCTTCCTCAGGGAGCTGCCGCCGGAGTCGTAGCCCCCGGACAGGTCTGTGGTGGAGGCACTGACATAGAGACACAACATTTACTCTTTCAGAAGGAGACTCAGAAAAGCTCTGGCAATGGGAATGTTGCTAAATTACCACACAGACTTCAAGGTCTCATATTATACTATTTTTTAGTTTTTTAAGATTTGGGTACGGAGGAAAAGAGACTGACACAAAGGGGACACATATTTATGTATAAAAGACATAACAAAAAAAGTGCATTTTGAATGATAAGAGACCTTTAAACTTAAACACAACTGTGCTTTGTGCTTTGAGCTCACTAAGGCCGATGGTAACATGCTGATATTTAGCAGGTCAAAACTCCTATATTCACATAGCTCAGTTTGGCATGTTAATTACATTTTAAATTCACATGTATCATCAGCGCTAAGCACAACGTACAGGTTAGGCTGATGGGCATGTCAACAGTACTTGACTTTTGCATATTATGGTATATATTTTTTGATAATCATCTCAATGCTAATGATAATCTGTACTGCTTTGGTAATAAAGGTTTCTGAACAGTCATCCAATAAAGCTTATGAGTGAATTGAAATACTATTTGCTCAGAAAATACTATTAAACCGTTTAATTTCCTAATCTATGCAATGAATGAAATCAAGAGGGGGTCCTGCTGCAGTGTTTAGTTTAATGTGTAAATATTCATACAGACAGGTAACAGGAAATTAGGAATATTTAGACATGATACTAACAAGATCAATTATGTAACCACTTGCATGTTTCAAAAGGACGAAAAGTCTGTGATTTGCTGCTGAATCTGCCGGAATTGTAATGTGTGTGTGTGTGTGGTGTGTGCCTGTGTGTATGTGTGTACGTCACAGTTTGACCCACCAAGTCCTTCAACCGAACACAATGCAATTACTGGAAAGGGGACAGTCTCCGTCTTCACCAGTTTCTCTGTGTCTCCACTCTGTACTCCCTGTCTCTCTTTCTACTTTCTGTTTCCTAACTTCTGTTAAAGCAGAGCTGCAGAAAGGTCACCACAAACCTTTTATTAAAATCCCCACCTTACAAACATGACACGACATTCAAAAGTGTGTGTGTGGGGAGATGTTGTCATGGGAGACCGGGAGGTGGGGGGGAGGGCATGCCCCTTACTTCAGGCATCCACGTCACACACACACACACACACACACACACACACACACACACACACACACACACACACACATACACACACACACACACACACACACACACACACAGAACACCTCACCACCACAGAACACCCATACACACCCCCCCAACACAACACACAAACACACACACACACACCCACGACACACACACACAGACACAGAAAACACAGACAGAGTTCACACACAATACACACAACACACACACACACACACACACACAACACACACCACACACACACACACAGACACGCACACACACAGACAAGCACGACACACACACACAACACACACCTACACACACCCGGACACACAACACACAAAACACAGCGCGTACACACAGACACAACACACACACACAACACAAACACAATACACACAAACCAACACACACACAGCACACAAACACATACGACACAGACACATGCAACACACACAACAACACACCACACACCACCACACACACACACATACACACACACATACACACACACACAACACAGACAGACACACACATAGCCACAACACACGCACAACACACACACACGAACACACCACACACACACACACACACACGAGGGCACACACACTAACACAGACACACAACACACAACCTAAAACACAACACACAGACAACGCAACAAAACGACACACCACACACACACACCACACATAGACACCAAACACACAACCGACACACAGACAGACAGACACAGCACCACACACCACACACACACACAACACACGACACACACACACACAAACACATACACACACACACACACACACACACACCACACACACCAACAGCATACAGCCCGGAGCAGACAGCACAACAGGCGGCACCACGGAGCCACACACGGCACACACACACACACAACACACACACACCACAGCCCCCCACGACACACCACATATTTCGTAGCACACACACCACCACACACAGACCAGCCACACCACATACACCACGCAGTAACACACGCACACACACACCCCCGGGCGCGGCACCCGCGGCGCCACACCGCGCGCGCCCACCGGCAACGCACACACACCACACACACACACACACACACACACAGACACACAGACACACACACACACACACCACATACACAACACAACACCAGAACACACGCACACAAACACACACACACACAACAGACACACATACATACACCACACCACAGACACACACACCATACACACACACAACGCGGCACGACACAGCACACACACACACACACACACACACACACACACACACACACACACACACAACATAGACACACACCAACAGACACAGGAAACATCACACAGAAAAGACACACCATACACCACACACACAAACCAGCACAACACACACAACACACGCACCGCGCAACAAACACACACACCAACATAGACACCAGCACACACATACCAGACAGACACAACACACATAACACACTCCACAGCGGCCACCGCCACACACACACACACGCACACACCACACGCCCACACACACACACACACACACACACACCACACACACACACACACACACACGCCCACACTCACACATACAAACACAAACACACAGACACACAAACAACACACACACAAGCGACACACATACATCAGCACACAACACAGCACACAGACACACACACATACACACACACACGCAACACGCGCACACCACACACACACACACACACACACCACACACACACAACACACAACACATAGACATCACACACAGACACAGAACACAGACGAGACCACACACCATACACACCCACACAACAGACACACACATACACACACACACACACACACAGACACAGACACAGACCACACACACACACACACAGCACACAACACACACACACGCACCAAAACACACACACACACACACACAGACAACACACAAACACAACAGACACACGCACATACACACTCAGATATAAGACAAAACACACACACCACACACACACACACACACACACACACCACACACAACACACACACACACACCACACACACAACACACAGACACACGACGACACACACAACACACAGACACACGCAACATACACAGCTCAGATATAGACACACACACACACAGCAAACACACACACAGCCACACACAGCACACACCAGCGCGAGCGAGGCACATATATAGACCACACCACACAGAGACAACTAACACATACACACAGACACTACACACACACACGCACACACAGACACACACAGACACGCATAGACATCGCACAGTACTCACAGCACAGCCACACACACAGGCACACACACACACAGCACGCACACCACACAACACCACACACATCACAACACACACACAAAGAAACCTTCGAATTCTATAAGAGTTGTTTTTTCCTAATTTCTTCTGAATTGTAGAAAATCCTTGTGTTCAATACCCTCGTAGTCACAGTGTTGCCTGAGGCAACATAACCAACCCCTTGTTGAGGGGGGGTCACATTTTATAATTTATATAATATCAGGGACCCCTAAGCTCCTAAAACACATGGTGAAACATTTTTTTCCTCCCAAAATAAAAAGTCATGCCATAGGGTTTTAAGTTAAATAGGTATTAATTCATTTACAGTAAAATCAACTCATTATTTTATTATTGTATTTATAAATGATGTGCATCATAGCTGATGGGCTAAGAATGTGACGGTTTTTATATATCTTTTTTTATTGACCAGGTGATATAAGTTAAGTAGTAGAGTAAAAAATACAGGTGTTTGTAAAGTACTACTTAAAGGTGGGGTAGGTAATTTTGGAGAAACCAGCTCGAGTGCGCTAGAATTTGAAAACACACAGCCGGAAAAAATCTGCCACTTCCTTACAGAGCCCCTCCTCCAACACACACGAACGCGCACATGACCAATGAGGGCACGAGATAAGTTTGTGCACAGATGGAAGGCTGACAGGCAGGTAGGACATCCAGTTACTTTAGCCGGGCCGGCTCAGATGATTGGTCGTGCTTTTTACAGAACCACGGCTTCCACAGATGACGTTTTTATATGGATTTTTTGTCAAAGCACTTCAGATATTCATTGCTATCGGGATGTTAAGAGCATTCCATGGAATATAACAAAAAGTGTATCTCGAGCCGGTTTCTCAAACTTACCTACCCCACCTTTAAACAAACAACAACCTCTGTAAATGACATTGCAATTACTTGTACAATTTAATACACTATGACATATTCTAAGATACATTACATAGCCTATTATGCTACAGTACAGTAAAAATGCAATATATGATACAATGATATTAACACATTACACTATGATACAATTAGGATATCATGATACGATAAAAAACATCTGGCAACAATATGTTGCTATCCTATAAAACTATACAATAGATAGAGTCTGCAATAAAATGCTATGATTAAATGCATTTGGATCAAATCAATACAACACAATGCAATATGCTAGGCTATGTTACCATTCTCTACGATCCAGTATAACACAATACATTATAGAATTGCCCTGTAAGGTACAATATGATATAAAACAGTTAGTATAAATTGTTGTTTTAAAATACTTGTGTAAAATGAACTTCCACTATAATGAATTGTGTTTTATATATTTTATTCAGGTCTCTGCAGAAAGGTTCCTGGCATCACTCCAGTGGCCCTGTAGCATCAAGTGCAGGTACTGTATATATCAATTCTATCTCCATGATTGTACACTTTTTTAATCTGCTCTAGCAATTAAAGGTTGCTAAAAAGCCCCAAATACAGAGATCTGCTATCTTCTTCCCCTGAATGACCCCCAACAACACTGACTCGGTTCCTCTGGTTGCAGCAAAATGCTCGTACGGGGCCGAGGGCCAGCTCCACACCGTGATAGAGAAGAGTCCGGAGAGCAGCCCCACCATAAAGCCCCGGCAGGGCGGAGGCTTTCCCAGCCCCACCTCCTGTCCTGGCCCTACCTCTGGACATGCAGGCCCCGGCCCCCAGCTCATTGTGCCCACAGGGATACAACATGTCCCCCACCATCAGCCCCTCAATGCAAAGATACCCAGTCCTATCCAGGGGCCAGGCTCCTTGGGAGGCTACCCTGCCCCCACCCAGCAGCAGCAGGGCATTGAGGGGAGAGAGGAAGGAACAACCGAGGGACGGGAGGAAAGAAGGATATCAGCTACAGAAAACGGATACCAAAACAACCCTTCTTCTTTACTGTACTCCTATCCCGTTTCTTCAACAGCTTCCTGCACTCAGCCCAGGCCTCGAGCACAACAGGCAGACAGGTAATACTATACTTTTGACAAAAAGCTGTGCTTTTAGTGTCATTACTTCCTACCAGTAGCTGTAGCAGTTGTGTAGCTTAGTGTGTAGTTCGTTCCCAAGAGTCATACTTAAATAAAATAATTGCTAAATGCACAACTTCATGCAATTTGTTGGTGTTTCCGATTCTATAATATTCTATTCTATAATGCTAACTCAGTCTTCTACCTTTATCAGGCCTCACCAGGAAGAGTCTTACTCTGAACTCTACAGACCCTACATGAAAACAGCTAGAGATCCATCAGAGGAACACACAACCCGCCATGGACCTCATGGTCAAAGCTTCCAAGGGTCCCAAATTCAAACAAGCAAGAGACCCCACAGCTTAGTGTTCCAGGAAGAGAACCAGGATTTCAATATTCCCCACATCCAATCGGCCGCTGGACACAGGGCCCCATCCTCAGAAGAATGGAGGGACCCCTGCATACCTGTCCAGTCGAGGCGAGACAGGAGAAGGTAAAGTATTGAGGAATTACTTTTGGTGACTGAAACCAGAGTCCTTCATTGATCTGCCAGACTTCTTTAGGTCAGAATTCTAGTTAGAGTATGTGGTCCATAGGAGGCTTCCAGATTGAGATATCTTTGCAGAAAACCAAAAGCATGCTCAAGGATTGTAATCTTTTAACTATTGGAGAGGCTTTTTTTTTCTTCATTAAACTCATGCACTAACATCATGCTACTAGGCACCACAACCAGATACAGCCACAACAACACAATAGCATACCCTATTTTCACCACATTTCTATCTATAACTGCCGCTACCTGACGGTTAATGGCTGTTTTGTTCATTCAATGCTTGTATGTTTTTTATGTATCAGGCAAAATCAATAAATATCAGAAATGATTTTCCCTCCTGTACTTTTCCTCAATGGTTTCTTCCTATCGCCCTACAGATCAATGGACCAGACCAGTACTCTTTCAGAGCCAGTGACATCACCTAGGCTCGCACAGGGACAGGTTCTTCCTACCCACACACCTGCTCCCCTCTCCTGCCCCCCCCCTTTTCCCAGTCACCTCAGTGACTGGGACCACCGAGAGCAGGACAAAGACAGAGAACACCCACTGACCCGTCTGGAGATTGCCCTTGCTGAGGTCCAGCGAGGCTCTAGCCCCAACAGTGTCATCTCTGCAGGTAGCCATGGCAACAGCAGCGTTGGCGATGGCAGCCAGGGAGCTGTACGCAGCCTCTCTGTCCTGGAGAAGGTCAGTCGCTTTGAGCGTCGGGAACGCACCGGGAAGCAGCGCAGTCACAGCACCACCACCGCACAGGACAAAGCCTCACATCTGAGGGTAACTCAAACAAAGCTGTGATTTGGTCACCAATTCAGCATGACTCTCAAATTGGAAGTTCTTGACCCTTGTTGGCTGTGACACTGTTTCACTGCTTGATTTTTTATGATTTTGAATTAGATGACTGAGAAGGGTCGTAACTCCCCATGTGGACCAGATGACCTCAGAAATATGCTGGAGAGAAGCAACAGCAGGACTAAAGTCCACCGGACTATGAGCTACAGAGGAGGCAGCTGTGAACACCCAAAATACAGGTAATTGATACAACTATATATAGATATAGTTACTATAATTGATCACAATAAATATTAGTAATAATTTATGACAAGTTCCCACCCTACCATGTAGGACCCCAGCAGATCCCAGTTCAGCCCTCCAGAGGAGCCGCAGCACCTTCCAGCTTGAATCCAGAGAGGTCAACAGCAGTAAAGAATTCCCCTGCACACAGGACATCCAGGACATACTGGGCCCCATGGGGGACACGTCCTTCAACAGGTCAGTCTTACACAGATCATATTCCTTTTTACAAGTTAGCATCACCAAAAAAGGACCAGGGGTTTCCAACCTTTATTGTGCCAAGGACCGGCAGATACATTACAAAAAAAAAATGGCGGTTGTCAATTTGAACTGATTTTAATATTTACTCACCAGCAGGTAGCAACAGACTAATTGTATGTAACAGCCTGAACAAATACTAGAACAATATGAATCCAAAACATATTAACAATGTTTAGAACTGGTGTTTTTCGGAAAAACGGAAAACCAAAAAAACAACGTTATTCAGTTTTTAAACGAAAACGGGAAAACAGATAAATCCACATTTTGGTTTTGTTTGTATGATTTACGGATAATCCAGTGAATGCTGGGAAAATGAGGATAAGGCGCATTATGAAGGAGATGTCCGGTCGCCAGGGTGTGTGTGTGTGTGTGTGTGTGTGTGTGTGTGTGTGTGTGTGTGTCGGTGTGTGTGTATGTGTGTCGGGGTGTGTCGGTGTGTGTGTCGGTGTGTGTGTTTGAGTCTGTGTGTGTGTGTGTGTGTGTGTGTGTGTGTGTGTGTGTGTGTGTGTGTGTGTGTGTGTGTGTGTGTGTGTGCGTGCGTGCGTGCGTGCGTGCGTGCGTGCGTGCGTGCTGTGTGTGTAGAGCTGTGTGTAACACGTAGCACAGATCAGAGTCCTTTTTACAAGTTAGCATCACCGTGAGAGAGAGAGTGTGTGTCTGTGTGTGTGTG